TATACTGCAACACCACCTCCCTTCTTGCCTAAAGGCTACTCTTTCTAGTTTTCCAGGAAAGATATTCTCATCAACCCATGAATGAAACAGCTGGGACCTGGATTGATTGTCAAAGCCATGCCAGATAATAGAAGAAATGGAAATATCATCTAATTCCTGTCTGTCCTGCTTTTAAATAAATGCATTTGTCCAAAGATCCAAAGCCTGAATTTTCAGTCAGTCAATATAAAGGTTGCAATAGGAGGTGTTATATATATTATTTTATTTAATTATTTTATTTGGGGGTCTGGAACGGATTAAGTTATTTTACATTAGATCTTATTGGGAAATACAACTTGGACCTCGACCAAATCAACTAGACCAGCCTTCTGGAACGAATTGAGTTTCTGTTCTATTGTACCACTCTACTTGGCCAATGATGTCTGATTCTTGTTGTAGAAGCTGATACCTCTAGATGTCTTTCCTCTGAACAAAACTATAAATGGGCGGCATGATTACCTCTGTCTGGCTGAGGTACTGCTGCTGGGCCTGGAGGGTCTCCGGGTTGAAGCCAGTGGTCATCTTGCACGACAGGCCAGTGATGATGGCATCATCCTGCACCACCCTGACTGCATCAACCCTGGGCCCATCCTTGCTGCTCTGGAAGAGGCACGAGGTTGGTACTATAGTCTGGCCATGTTGAAGTGCCACCTTCTGTGATGATAAGAGTCCTGTGTGACTAAAGCGTGTTCCATTGACGGGTGGCAGTGAGCTGCCTTCAAACATACAGCTCTTGCTTGCCTGGGGCGTGGGGTCTGCCTGCCCCAGCTGGGAACAGTATGGTGTGCTAGACATGGTGGACAGGCTGGGTGTGAGCCTGCAGCCGGTGACACAGGCTTGTGTATTTGGTGATGAGAGGCCCCTATGGGCACTCCCCCGGAAAGTGGCATTCTGGCCATAGCAGTTGGAGAGACTTTGGTGTCCATTCTGCATGGCTGGGGGAAGTTGCTTTTGATGCTGCCAGGTTTGCAGTCTCTGAGTTTGGCTGGTCTGGGTCTGAGGTGGAAAATGCCTTTGAAAGGAGATGGCAGCTGATGGACTCACATTATCAGTGCAGACCTCTGTCAGACTGCCTGTAAAGTTAGTGTTAAGGATGGAAGGGCCCCACTCCCTCTCCTGATTGGAGGACACTGGAGTGGAAACATCAGTGCTATTCTGCTGCTGGAACACTATTGGGTGGTCCATCATTGTGGGCTGCATATGGTCATGAAATGACTGAATTGTGCCATTTAGGTAGACTTTACGAGCTGGCTGCAGAGGTCCTTGAGAGTACGGTTCCAGGCCATTCTGCGTGGTGAGGCTAAAACCAGCCTCCGGACTGGGAAGACCATAGTTCTGTATGTGGTCACAAGATCCAAAGTCATTGCCACTAAAACCATTCTGGAAAGTGACTTTTGGTGCATCCCAGACTTTAGTGAACACTCTTTCTGGTTGTGTCTGCTGTGTGAGATTGTTTAGCCCATAAAGCAGGAGATCCTCCAAGCTGAGACCTGAGCTTTCTGTTCCTACCAGGTTCTGACTATTCACACTCATCAAATCATTCTGATTGATAATAGGTGCATTGTCGGATAGTACTGTATCCTGAAGCTCTAGCCCTTGCAGACAGTGTGGTGTTTCAACAAAAGCATTGGAGTGGGATTGCTCAGTGCTATACTGGCTGTCTGCTTTGCCCATGAAAAAGGCATCCTCAACATATGAGAGAATGTCATCAGTAAGGATGCTGTCAAGCTCCACAGGCTCATCACTATTGCTGATGTTCATTTTTAGCAAAGCACTCTCCCATTCCTCCAATTCTTCTGCATCCACTTCCAGATCCCTGAGGGCATCATAGTCTTCCAAGATCTGTTCCAGAGTCTCCTTCATGGCTTTAGCTGGCACTTCTTTCTTGACTCTGCTGTCCAGCCTTGGAGTGCCAAAATGACAGTGGTTGCTTGGGACATTGAGCACGGCATGGCTATCCATGAAGATTTGGTCCATGGATATCTGAGGGTCAGGCTGCGGGAGGTATGCTGACTGATCCTGTTTTAGCATCAACCCCAGAAGCGAGTTGGGATCCACGCCTTGTGCGTCAGCCATATTCTGGATCTTCGTAGTCTCTGCGTTAATATCTGGTATGTCTAATGTTGGCCCGGTCTCATACAAGACCGCCTCGCCTGTAGAAAGGTTGAAGGGAAGCTGCATCTTTCTCTGTCTGAAGTGTTCCTCTCCCTCTTTGTTTCTGTGAAGAAAGTCAGAAGTTACCATAGGAAGCTAGGGGTGGTTTTCTCAGGATTTGGGAGGGTGTAGGCTACCGGGTACTTACGTCAAGGCTCTCTGACTCGCCACAATGAAATCAGGCCGACCACCTTTGAACACAAGCCGTGCATTTGCCTGAACCCAGACCCAGCCCTCTGTCTTAGTCAGCAGCCGGAAGACCGTGAGGCCACTCTCGCCGGTTTTTATCACTGAGGAACAAGAAGGATACAGCCAGGTTTGGACACCTTATTAATTATCAGGTTTGGACACCTTTGGACACCTGAATGTACCTCAAAGGGAAGAAAACACAGTCAAGAAAATGGGACCTCACCCGAGTGTCTTAAGTTAAGGAGACACACATAAGTATAGCAACTTAACTAATTGAAACATCTAAAGTCTATCACCCAAAATTATTTCATGTTTTCCTTGACAGTACCTGGCTGCCTCTGGCGTTATCTTTTGCTAGACATGCAAATGAACAGCGTGTGAACACTTACTTCTGATATGGTTGTCTGCACAGTGCATCATGTCTGCTGCATGAATAAACTGGTAGCCAGATCCCCTCATTGTCAGCTCAATCTCGTTATATCCCAGAACCACCTTCCCCCTGCAAGAAGAAGCACACTGGTTGAGCTGGGAGAGCTGCCCCATTAATTTCCACTAATAACAGCATGCATCAAGTGTCAGCATTACCTGGTGTCAATCCCTATGGGTGTAAAGTCCAGCTTGTGCTTGGTCTGGAAGATCAGTGTCTTGATCCGGATGTCCATGATGGAGGGCGGTTGCAGTGGGGTGGCAATGGTGAACAGAGCTAGCTGGGGGTGAGCTATGGTCCCGTCCTCGGCCACCTTGTTCTGCCCATGCAGGTACTTCAGACGACCCTGGAAGTTCAGGGCCTGGAAGGAGGAGAGAGCAGCAGGAGTAGCTTGAGTCAGTGCCACACTTCTGGCACTGTGATACAGGGATGGAAAGAAAACGTGGTTCTCTGCATTGCTGTGGATTCTTTTTCCACTTCTATGAAGATCTTTTTTTAAATTAAAACAAATTCAATTATAGTGTGGCCATTTCAAGGCATTTTTTAAAGAAACGAAGCCAGCAGTTCAAATGAGGTACTCTAAACAGATTCTGTTTGCTCTGAAAATAAATGCATGTCATAAACATATTCTATTTTGCCTGTTTGGCCTTAACTAAACACCATCATCACTGACACCGTCAGGCTTTCATGACCCAATGGAGTAGAATAAATGAACAGACATTTGGTGGTTGTAACCATTCAAAACAACATTTTCTAGGAGAAACATCATTGATAAGAAGAGTTGATAAATGTTGGCCAAGGTCATTTATCCTATTATAAGTAATGGCTAAAAACCTTTGTTCCAAAGAATCCTTAGTTTAGGAATTTTACAGGGGTAACCTGGGTAGCCAGTACCCACATATGGCTTTTGGAATGCAGTTCCGACATAAGGTGAGGTGCAGTAGGTATTGGGGGTTACCAGGAAGCCGGAGGAGTTGTCCAAGAGACAGCGGAAGCGGCACACAAAACTTCTCTCCAGGAAGGAGGAGTTCTCAGGGGGGATGTGGTGAGGGTCGTAGGTGATGACACTGCCGGTGGTCATCCCGCCACCACTATGTGTGCCTGGTGATCAGTGAATAACAGGGAGACCACAGCCATCAGCAAGCTGGTAGTCTGTAACATGAGCATTTGCTTTGAAAATGAAGACTACACACCTTCCCCATCGCCTTCTTCACCAAACTGGGTGGGATTGAGGGCGAAGTGCAGCTGACTTTTAAACGTGGCACGGTCATCCGTGTGGATCAATTCGAACACACTCTGGTGGATCACGTCCGACTACAAAACAGGAAAAAGGGAGTTAAGCAAACAGATATGGAGATGGCACAAACCCCGTTTGGATCTGATCTTCTATTTCAGTTTCATTGTGAAAAAGAAATAGTCCATTGGTCTTGTATGAGAGCACAGCTACGTGGTGGTTGGCGTTTTATTATCATTCATAATGTTTTCATGAGCACTTTGGCATCTGGGACTTGGCCGTATGCCCTTCTCTACAGAGAGAGACAGTAGGTTTGAGGCTAACAGATATCAGTTCCAAGTCCAGGTGGGGTGGAGGTGGGGGCTGCTTAATTCAGTATCATGCTGATCAGCGTGAATTTGAGGGTAATACTCTTTTCTAAATTTGTGTGCTCACAGTAATGCAAGAGGCCAACACAGAAAATGGAGCAGAAGTGCACAAAGCGGGATGAATTACATCACTAATGACAAAAGCTGTTCTGTTGTGAAATACAGTTAAAAAAGGCAGTGAAACCATATAACTCAGGTTCTGATATTTTCTAGAAGTGGAAAAATGCATCTGGTTCTGTGAGAAATTTCAGTCAGCACCTTCTAATTGTGTCTTTAGGTAACGGGTAGGCAAGTCTGAGGTGCCACAGGGGTGCCAAGTCAAATCTCATCCGGTGCAGAAAGACCAAGGTAAGGATAGGATGGTGACACTCACCTGCAGGAAACCCAGGTAGTCCTGGATGGTGGGGGAGGCATAGAAGACAGACCCCTCTGAGGTGACCACCAGGACGAAGCCATTAAGTGCCTGTTGGGGGAAGGACCATGACTATTAAGGTCATGTGACACACATAGACTCACATAATGGTGTACAAGCATATACCCATGCCTACAATGTGTGGACAAGCAGAAATATTCAAACACAGGGTCTTACGCATGCTCGCATACAGGCAACACACATGCATCTACCCCTGGGCAGCCACACCCACAAACGCAGTGAAAACACACAGCAGAAGACACATTTATACATTCCCACACATCCAAATATACGTGTGTAGAATTATAGACCAAGGTACACAGGGCACAAAAAAGGCTACTTTTCATGTGTTTGAGGGATTATGGTGAGTTGTGAAAGGTGTCTAACAGATAAAGCATGGCTTTTGCAGAGTAAACATTGCATAACAGCACCATGTTTCCAAACAGGTCATGCATCGTTCCCTGTGACAGAGCAGTAGGACCAAGCTGTCATGGCGGCCCTGTTGGACTTATTGTTTACATTTCCCTGTGTTTCCCTCACGTGTACACTGGGTTTTCTTGTGAACTCTTCATTTCCATTACCACATGCATTGCGGTCACTCTGGCTCCCACCACAAAGCGTTTAACCTCACTCTCACGTTTTGGTCATTCTGCAGACCCTGTCTGCCCAAAGCCAGAGAAAGTGTGGCACACTCTGAGCCAGCTGCGAGGAAGACAGGCACCCTGTCGGTGATTGTGATTGGTAACGTCCTACCTAGCAAACAGGGCTACTCTGACTTTAAGTCATTATTAGTTTTGCTTTGAAGAGATCCTTTTGGATTGTTCCAGGTCATATAACACCGATCACAGAAAAAAGCAGAGAGGGTGGTTACCAGCCAACAAAGAGGCCCTGAGTGTTACGAGAAGTAGAGCCAGCCAATGTCGACCCAAAAAGTAGGTGTCACCTGGCTGCCTGTTTGACTGGCATTGCAACAGTTTGACTTGTCATCATGAGAGAGCTGGCGAATGCTCTCCAGACCCCAATGCTCAGTTACCATGGCATTGTGCTGACATGTTTGAGTCAGGTGTGTTTATTCAGGAGGCAATCTCACGGATATTACAAAAGTAACTTTGCTAATCTTCGGGATCAGTGCACTCAGTATTATGTGAGTCGCTTCCAGAATTATGACATCTCTTCAATACGTTCAGCTTTAAAACCCTGTTTCCAAAACATGTCTTTAAATTCCTGACCTGCACATGAGGTAGCTACACCAGTGTGGAAATGCACATGAGGAGCCTGTTGCCTATTAAAAAGTCAGAGGAGGAAAGACTGGGGCTTTGGAACCCCAAGACTCAGGGTCGGTCATCTAGCTGCTACACGCTTGGCCCAAAACCACCAGTTGGTCTCTTTAAATGTAAAGACACTACAGAGGGCTGGAGATCTTTTTTCTTAGCTTTTGTGTATTTGTCTCCATCTTCCTGATGCTGCAAGTAATATCAACAGTGGGTGCTTCTTCTATGCCCTGTGAGCTTGGTCTTTGGGGCTATAGACAGACCACAATACAAGCATACAGTAAGTGCTTCTGTAGAAAGACAGATTGGGATGGCTGCCACTGGCAGAATGTCACAGAGGTAAATTATCGACCATCGAAAGCTCCACAAAGCCACAAGGCTATGCAGCTTGTTATTATTCCTATAAGTCTTTTCTGCTAAGTTCTCTTTGGGTCTTCTGCAGTGACTGAGTTTAAAGGCCACACTTGTATGATGTACATTAACTGCCCTATTAAGATCTCTGTTTGCACTTCTCAAAGAAAAAACAGACTCAAACAGATTAGATCACATGCTTTGGGCCAGCCAGTCATCTGTGAGTACAAAGGAGCAGGCCAGGGAGGCTGGAATCCATTGGCTTAGCAGACTGATGACTCCACCACCCACCTGGAGCAGAAGGTCCCCTTCCGAGAAACTGATGCTGCTGGTGGTGGGAACATTCATTCCGTTAGATCCGGAAGATGAGGGCTTGTCCACTGGCCAGCCAACACTGCCATTCTTCATGGTCGCTGCAGGGAGGTAAAGAAACAACGTCACCAACAGAGCATGTGAATGAAAGTAGGCTGCTAGGGAACACACAACCCCTCTTGCATGGCCCAAACAACAGGCACTCTTTCCCATTACCCATGGAGCCCTGCCCTGCTGCTGCGAGCCTCTCATGCGATTGTCATTGGAAACAGGGAGAGACTTGAAAGCAATCTGACACAGGTTTATACGATTACAGGAAAGAGACTTGTGTCCTTTTTTACCCCGGCCCTCCTTCTGTTGTTTTTCCATCCCTGTTCATCCTCAAAGGGAACCGGAACGTACCAGGATTAAGGAAAGTTAAGCAAAAACAACTGGGAGGACATGGTGCGGTGTTCTGCAGAGTGAGACCAGGATCTGGATTGCTCCAGATGTCATTCCTAGAATGGCCTTGTGGCAAGGCCCCATGCGTGATGCAGAGCAGTGGCGTTTGTGACAAACCCGTTGACCTGTCGCAAGGAAACCAGCCAGGAGGATGCTGCCGCTGATAAGTTTACAGTATGGCAAATGAGGGCTCCACACACACAAACCACACAGGCAACATTCATAGACCTTGTGCAAATCCTTTTCTCTTTAGCGAAATGTAACACAAGAACAAAAACTGTGTTTATGTGCTTGCGCAAATTGTTTTCCAGTCATCCTGTGCCCTTTGTTGATGCTTACAGTGGTGGTTCTTTGGGATCTAAACCTTCAGGCATCACCATGACTGTGTACTGATTGGCTAGAGTGTGAGAAGCATGTCATGACACCTCCGTTCCAAGGCAGAGATTACACGTTTTTGTGGGCATGGCACTAGATCAGAGGGTCTTAGGTTGTAAAATATGGAGACCAGAGGTATATTTGATGGGCATAACTTTATCCCCCACAATTTGGATGAAAAGGCTATTCATATCTCGCAAGATTAATTATCACAAAATATTAATTCAGGCAAAATGTCATAGGGCATGATCAGAGATCCCTGTGGGACACAGCGGAGAAAATCCCACTGATCCACACTTGCGCCCATTTGAGGTGGGTCAGGCCCTTTCGTAGAACGAGAGTCCAGGAACAACCTCTAGAGGACAGGGTTCAGACACGAAACTGCTAAACTGCTATTGGTGCAAAAGACTTCTGACCAAACAAAGCGCATTTAGACAAACAGTATAAAAGCTAAGATAAGAACAAGCTAAGGTTTCCACCGATGGGTCACTCAGGCTGTGACCCAGTTAAGGTTGCCACCTGTCCCAGTTTTCCCGGGACTATTCTATTTTTTGAGCAACTGTCCCAGAAAATTATTATTCTTTCTTGGGAAAGTAATTGTTCTGGATTTTTGTGAAAACTGACATTTAAAATTTCGTAAATTAAACCTCACTTGATTTCCTTCTACCTTTTTTCTTCCTGTTTATGTTTATACATCCAAACCTGTGTCTGTAAATGGTTAAAAATGGGTACAACACAGTGAACGATTGACCATGTCTATTTTTTTATTTGACTGGTAGCAGAATAGCTTACCTTATTGCTTACTAACTGCGGCAGCTGTTGGTCTGCCATGCGCATCCACGTCCACGACCCCACGGAGACTATAAATTGCTAGCTAGAGGTAATGTTAGTTTAAAAAAACTTTCTATTTATTTTGTCAGTGCTGTGAAATGGGTGGGAGTGGCGGGCGATATTTTGCTATTGACAAAACAGTATTGGATGAGCCACCAACGTGAAAGAAAAAGCAATTTACAATGTACAATGCAGAGAGGGCAAAAGAGAAAACCTTTCTGAATGGGTCCAACCAAGGAGGTGTGGGGGATATTCGACACAGCAGAATTTCCCAGTTAGCTGGGTAACTTAAGCCAAACGTGAAAACTGTCTAATAGGAGCAGAGGTAAGTGACCTTCCTATTGGACAACCCTTACATTTGGCTTAAGTTACCAGATTAATGAAAAACATACTGCATGGTGAAATACCACCCCCCCCCCCCACTTCTCCGCCACTTGTGTATAGGTAGAGGGGGTGTAGAGGGGCAATAGGGAGTCCATATTAACAAAGTATATTTGCAAATATGGTTTAATCCCACCACCCACAAAAAAATATCTCAGTGTCCCAGTTTTTGACAAACCAAAAGTGGCAACCCAGGAGACGGGACAGGTGGAGCTATGTCAGCACAGCTGGGTTTCTAGGCAACGCTGTGCTAATTCTGGAGTGCTAGCTGCTTATCAGGCCCTGAATCACAAAGTAGAGAACAGAAAAAGAAGCATCTAGCATATTCCCATGGCACGCAGATTTTGGGGGGGAAACACAAGCCAAAAAGCCCTTTACTTAAACAGAAATCTGGCTACTGATGTCACTGTTTGTGGTACACAGCAATTAACCACACATGTGAGGGGAAAGAACATGGGAATAACTATTTTCTGGGTTGATGTTAATATAGGTGCATGGCTTGGGTTACTGCTGGCAAGCGCCATGCTGCTCAAAACAAACATCTCAATGATGACCTCAAACAACGTGACTAAGGTGCTGCAGATGCCACATAGGACTATGTGGGTCTTTCGAGGGTTTTGCTGGCTTTCTATGAGCTCTCTGGATATCTTTGCATCTCTGGTAGCCTGTCTTGGACTGTAAGCTCAACCTCAGTAGCTAGAAGACAAAGGCAAGAAGGCTGCAGCGAAGAAGCTGCATCAGGGCTGTCGTGTTGCCCAGGGTTTTGTGGAGAGGTCTTGCGAGACATTCCAACAGTACGGTGCTCCTTGGGCACAACTGAAAGTCTTCTCCATTTGAGAGTGAGTGAGCATGTCACTTACAAAACACACCAGGTTAGCCTAGCCTATGCTAGCAGGCTACTGGAGAGTGGACTAGCCTGGCATAATCCCACCCAGCCCAGGTCTATAGAGTGGATTCAAGGCCTTTGTTAGTTTAATGCTAACACATGGCTGCCAGCCCCCTCTGGACCTTTTTGCTTTGTCTTCCTGCAGGCTAAAACTTGGCTCTATAGTTACACTTAAGCTTCAAATGGCTTCCAGCAAGTCTGGCATTAGCTGTAACATTTACAGCTACCCCTAGCATGAAATGGGAAAGTTTTGTACCGTACTAGGCTACATTTCATCACAGTACTGAACTTCAACATCACTGGTAGTGACCCCCCAGAGAGTAACACAGGTTTGACGGCTACCATGCTTGCTGTTGGGTGGCCGCCTCCCTGAGCACTGGAAATTGAGGTGGGTGAAGTGAGAAGGGACATGCAGATGAAGCCTGGCCCACACAGGCTGTATACTGCCATCGCTTCATCTGTCTGTGAAAATTGAAGGCACACAGAAACAAGGCGGGGGGAGGGGGGGTTCTGTTGTTTTGCAATGTCATGCAGCAGAATGGTGATAACACGCTCAGGTCAGCACTCTGGTCTGGGTGAAGGGTTGCTCTGTGTCAGGCAGGGTGGCAGCTCCATTCCACGGTCCCTGCCAAACAGGGTTCAATCACTGGCGATGGAGGGGGCTATCTCCATGACATTCTGCAAATGAGGGACTGGACCAGGAAAACAACAAGCAAGGTTTTGTTTACTGTGTTCTTGGAGTGGCGAAAGGAACCATAAAGTGAAGGCACACTGAGGATGCGGCTGAGTAGGACAGTGACCCCTACTGCCTGGAGGAAATGCTCACTATGGTGGAATAGGTGGCCTCTGGTGCTTCGTAGCTTCTGTCGAGTTTTTGGACGACATTAAGCTGTGCAGAATTACCATCAGATGTACGATTTTCGGACATTTTGCACTTGGATATCTGCGGCCTGCTTTTCATGCAAACACAGTTCAAAGCTTTTCAAAGGCGCTAGATTGGGAAATGCACAGATGAACTATATTTAATCAGTATCACAAGGCAAGTTCCCCGCCTGGCACATAAAGAAGGCCCCACGGGCAGGCTCTCCACTCATGCGGACACAGGAGCACTTACATTTTCCTATATAGCAGACACTTTTATTCAAAGCAAAGTACATTTGAGAGGGCAGGGTGAGCCAGTCACTGGAGCAATTGGGGGATAGGGGCCTTATTCAAGGGGCCAGTGGTGAAATGACTGCTGATCACATCATCGCCAGCTGACGCCCCATGTGATCTTGGCGTGGTGATCTCTCTGGGTATTAGTGCATTGGGAGTCCCCAAGCTTGTTCAGGCCCATTGGCAGGACTCTGGGGATGCTCGCTTGGATTCCTTTAGGATCCGTCACGTATGGTGACACTACACTGCACCCTCATGGATGCGGCTAACCTCCCTTGTTGTCGCCTGGCCCATGGGTGGCACCCTCTCCCGATGAGACTTAGCAAAAGCTCTTTGAAAGCCCCCCTAACCATGGTGGGAATCTGGGGTTAGGCTCTGTGGTGCTGGCAGAAGGCCAGGTTTCTGACATACAGACAGCCCTCACAGCCCTAACTGAGACACCCCCCCACCCCGTTAATGAACAGAAATGAAAGAACGAAAAACACAATCTGTTTCCTGTGATACAGCATGTAGGAAAAGGCCTGGGTTTGTGACAGTGTGTGTGTGTGTGTGTGTGTGGGGTGGGGGGGGGGGTTAGGTAGGCTCAGCCCAGCCCCCCAACTTATCCTCAGGACTCTCTGGTGAATCACATGACTGGGCTCCAAATAGAGCCCCAGCCCCTTCCCAGCTGACACTTCATTTCCCAGAGCAGCTGAATGGCCGTGATTCACAGTGGGCCGATGATGGAGGCGGGCTCATGGGACGGGGGCACTCTTTTCTCATTGGCTGATTTAGGACCATCGCGTGTGGAATGAGCCTACATGCTCAAGCACCTGAACTACATTAGTAAACACACTGGAGTGCTTCCCAGTTTCATCGGGCTCTGACAGGGCCCCTCCCGGCCTCCACAAAGGCCCTCCGTCAAAGTGAGCTGGGGTCCTTGGCAGCTGGCATGGGAGACTGGGCTGGGCCGAATGGCATTGCCAGGTCATCGGGGGGACTGGCAGTCCCTAGCCGCTCCCAAACGATAAATACCATCAGAAAAGTTTTTAA